CACACTAACATCACTTTTTACATATTTTTGTTTATTTATTATCATGTTAAAAAAAAATTTCTAATTTATATTGTTTACTATACCTACATATTAATTTATTTATCTACTTGTTTTTATGGTAATTGTATTAATTGTTTTAATTAATCTGTATATTTATTATGAACGCTTACTTTTATGTAAGTTTTTTAATTATTTTTAATGTACACCAACAAATAACACTGTAAATCTTCCTTGACCTTGCCTATGTCACCTCCATGATCTGAATGGCAATAAATATATTATTATTATTATTATTATTATTATTATATTATATAAATTATTGTATAAAACCAACCGACATAATTTTTGTTAATATGACCAAATCGTATCACGTTCCAAATAGTCAATGATAAGGTAAGAGTGTAGAGTAGGGTGGGTCAAAAAACAACTTTTTTTCACAGGGAAAGTTGAATTTTGTCAAGACAATAACAAGGACTGGTGATATGTTAAACAAATATTATAAATATTCCCTGAACCGTGAACGGACACAGTTTACTAAACCGTGGACCGTAACCGCTTCAGTGAACACGTAAAGAGAAACTAACAAACTAATTTATACAAACTAGAGTTGGGTACCGGTCCGTTATCGATATTTAAAGATTAATTTTTATTCTTATAAATGTATAAACTTTCGTAACAATCTAGTAGACTAGGTTCCCTAACTTACTTAATAAGTTTAAGGTTAAGGTATGACTATCATCAAGTATATGTTGGACATACCTACTCGATTTCTCTGTCCAAGATCTCTCTGAACCTTTCTTGGATGGTTCGTTTAGTTTGTCACAATCTTGACAATTTATATTGTAGATCCCCGACTTTTCAATTTTAGGAATCATATCTTTGGGGTTGCCTAAAAGGGTCTGAATTGTGTTACTGCTTGAACTAAAAGCAATTTTGAAGTTCAGTTTCCTAAAAATCCCTTCCAGACCTCGGGTGTACTGGGGTTCGAAAGTCATAAACTTGACTTTTGTGGGCTCTGTTAGCTTTATTTGAAAAGTCGTTAACCTAAAAAGGCGAGACTTTTTAATTTTATTTAACAACTAGGGTGGGTTCCAAACCATTGTCCCTAGCAATGTCTTTTATAATACTAAGCTCTTTCTTGTATCTACTGTTACTAAGTGGAAAGTAAACAATTCAAAATTCTTTTTGGCGAAAATTAAGCATTGGTAAAGCGTTAAAATATTATTGTTTTTAAAGGTATCTCGATAAGTCTTTTAATTTTTAAGATTATAAATGGTTCTTCTTATTATTTTCTTTCAAGCTATAAATGCTCTATGAAAATAAGAAGAACAACCTCAAACGTTGTAACTCAAATGTTAAGAAGCTACACCTCAATCAAGTATGCTTTAAACGATAATAAACTGAAATCGAGTACTAAACCAAGAAAAGTTTTATAGTTATTACTTGCAACAAAAAATACATATAAATTGTTATAAACTTAACACATTTAAATATTTTTTTACCCCAGAAATACAGGTTTTATTATGCCGGCGCATTAGCCATTTTTAAAAATTATACCACGTTTAAAAAAAAATATTTTAAGTTTTAAAATGGTATTTATTATTATTTAAAATAAGTATAGCAATGATAAGATGACCCTTTAAAATGATCTGGCAAAAACTGTGTTTAGTGCTATCTACAATATTAATATTATAGATATTTTCTTTATTCTTTACGTTCCTTCTAAATGACTAAAGTTTAACAAACTCGACTTGGTTTAGTTGTTTCCATGAAATAGCGGCATCGGGGAAAGCAGGACGAAATTCTTGGAAAATATTCCCGCAGTGCCATAAAGGTTTGAAATTCTCCATCCAGAGTAGGAAGGCTTTTTACGATTTTACGGAGAATGATGAAACAAATGCAAAGAAATATGTTTAGGTGCTTTTAAAAATTATTATAAAATATTCAGTTTCAACTTGTTTTTGTATGTAAAATAAATTCAACTGGTTAATTGCTAAAAATTAATTTACCATCACTTTGCAGTTTTAACAAAAAGCATCTTGTAAAAAAAGTCAATATCAAATTTGAGAGGTAACGATTAATACAATTTCTAATTTGTATTAGTTCATAAGAAGTAAATATTGTTATATGCTAAAAATATTTTTTTTATATTTAAATTAAATAAACTTTACTTTATATTTAGAATTTTACGTGAGTATATTTATTTACACTTAGTATTGGCAACATAAATGCGTCAGTAATAAAACTGATGATGCAAATGAAAAATGTGGAATACCTTTTAATTGCTAATAAAAATAGGCATATATTTAATTTCATTCTTAATATTATTTATTAATTAACTATTAAAATAAAATGAAAACATTGTTTTGATGTTTAATTTTGTATTACTTAAGTTTGTCATCTTTTTAGATTGCCCTTATTTAGACCCGTTTCCATTAAAACTTGTCATCATTTTATCTAACTGTTATTTTATCTTTTTATCCTTTTAGTTAGCCATAAAAATAATTTTACTGCAAAACTGGGTAGTTTGGAGTCCATTTTTTTTAATTTTTCATAACATGAAAATTGTACGAGTTCTGCATGTTGATTAATGCAAACAACAATATTAAAACAAGTATCCAGATTTTTTTATACAGCAAAAACTTTCAAAGTTAATAAATCCACGTCTCTTTTTTGCGCTTGTTCTCTTTTGCTTAATTGTAATTTTGCTTTGTCATTTTATTTTGTCATTGTTTTAACTTCGCGTTATTTTAGCTGGTATTCATTTTATTCTGTCAATATTTTACCTTGTCCTTATTTTAGTTTATTATTGTTTTGGTGTTTGTTATTATGTTATCTAGTCGTCATTATAGCTAATGACCAATTAAAGCTTTTCATCTTTTTAGTTTGTCATCATTTTATATTGTCCTTATTTAAGCTTGGCATCGTTTTTCATCTTAGCTTGTCTTCATTAAAGCTTGTGGTCATTTTAACTTGTTATTATTTTGGCTTGTCATTATTTTATCTTGTCCTTACTTAAGGTTTCTGTTATTCTATCTTATCATCATTTTAGATGGCTGTAATTTTATAATAATTATAATATTAATAAACGACTTTAATGTATGCATCCACTAACATCAAAAAGGCGAAGTTCAATCAGAGATTGTTCTTCCACTTAACCATAAACTACAACAGTAAGACAGTTTTATACTGTCAGTAGAAAATATATAATCTAAAGTATAACATAATAGATGACAAACATGATCTACAAAAATTCAGGTGTAAAATGGTGTTTCCATCGTAACGGGTGTGACACTGACACTGCGTTAATATACAAAAATTGTATAGAAAATTAGATATTTAAGTCAAACAAAGTGTCAAAAAAAAACTTTTTCTATACAATTAGATATTTAACTCAAACAAAGTGTCAATAAAAACTTGTATAGAAAATCATTTATAACGTGATTAATTTATAACAGACGCGACCTTAGAAAATCGGCAAATGCGACCAAGTTGGCTTCTAAAGTTGATACTGTAAAATTTTGGATGAAAGCATATAGTATTAATTTTTTGTGTAAAACTTGATTAGGAACCTTAAACAATCACGTATTTAAAATGAACAAATATTGAATACTTTATTTTCTAAAATTTTCTCAAAATGTAACGAGTGCGACATTTGAACATTTTATCGAGTATTGACTCTTCCGTGTTTATTCTTAATGTTAGTTTCTTAGCATCACAATGTAAGAATATTTTAAGGTTATAAATTACGCCGCAATTAAACTATTTGACTTTAGATATAGTTTTTATTTTGTTAAATAACACATCTGATTTTTTGTCGAGGTGGGGTAAGGTTTCGTGGAAATACCCAAAACAAGAAGACACAAGTGTCAGTACAAAAGATTAATTAAAATTAGTGCTCCAACAATCAAAAATAAAACAATTTCAATAATATTCTTTAACAATTTTAATAATTCTTTACAAAAAAAAAACAAAAAATATATTATTTTTTTCAGAATGGCAAACTCTGCTTCATATGCAAATATATTTTAATTTTTCTGAGAAAAGAGTTAAGAGTCAGGTTTTTAAGTATTGGTTTGAGGGGATTATAGATTTTAGGTGCGATCTGCAACATATATTCTGTACTTTTTGTATACGATTTTTATTAAGGCAGTTTATCTGACGTAGGCATTTTGTAAAAGCTTGTTTATGTGATCATTTAGTTTCAACTTTTGGTCTAATGTTACACCCAGTATTTTTGAGCTTTCTGAAAAAATAAAAGGGACATGATCAATGTTAAGATCTAAAGAATTTTTACTATGGTTTCGGTCAGTTTCAGGACAAAATAGAAGTGATAAGGTTTTGATAGCATTTAATCTGTGACTTTTTGAGTCGCTATTAAATTAATTAAATTTTATGTTAGCAGACACGTTTTCCGGTGACTTTGGATTAAATGTGTACCCTTGCATGTGTTCATTTGTGCAATAAAGAATGTCAGCAATATAAATTAAAAACAACAATGGGCCAAGGATTGAGCCTTAAGGCACCCCAGAAACAATACTTGTTGGATATATCCATCTTATAAGATCTTTTATTATCTTATAGGATTTTTACCTTGTCCTCATTTTAGTTTATTATTGTCTTAATTTTAGCTCTTACTCGTTTTACCTATTCATCATCATCATAACTTCTCGCAGTTTCAGTTTTTTATTATTTAAAAATATCTGTCAAAGTGGAGAAATTTATAGGTAGGAATATTTACGACCTGCTCAATAGATATTTTTCGCAGAGGTCCCATATGTTGCTGTGGGTAAGAACCCGTTCTGTCCTGAGGAGGAATTCGGTCGAGGGTCTTCGCGTGTCGTTTTTTCATCGGCCATAGGGCCGCTCGACTTTGGAAGAGGAGGCCGCCGTACAGTTTCCATTGGAAAATACGTGTGTATTTTGGTCGATCAATAGATTCGCGCGGTCCTGGGAAACGGGTTCAGGCGCGCGCATCCGGTTCCGTCCGCGGCACCGCCATAACGGTCCCAGATTTCCACAGGGAAAGTTGTCCATCCCGAAACCAAGCGGACCAACTAACGTTGACTCCGCTCAACTTGCATGCGGGAACTCGAATCCAATAACGTTTTTCGTTGACCTTTTATTTCACTATTACGGGCACGGTGTCGCTATCCGGCAGCATCGGTGTATGGTGTAAGAAAAAGTGGCCTCGGATGATTTCACACGAGCCTTTTGCTGGTAAGTAACCTCTAACAAAAACTCTTCTTCTTTCTTTTTTTCAACCATCCACTACTAACACTCTAAGCTCATCATCACATGTGCTGACATCCACTTCACAATTAATCACTGTTGCCATATTAACTTTAATTAAACGACAATTTAAAACTTTCACCACTTGTCATCCCCCACAATTAACTTTCCAACTTCCTTAATTAGTTTAAACACACTTATTTTAATAAATGGTATAACATACAGTTGGCCTAACTGTCAACTCTATAAAAATTCAAACAGGTTTCTTTATATATACTCTACAATAGACATATGTTTCATATGAAAGCTTAGGTTATCTTCAAAGCATTGTATAAAGAATATTACAATCTGGTGTAAAAAATAACTAAATAAGTATGCCTTAAAATACATTAAAATAATAAAGAACAAATACAAGATTTTTTGAATATCTTAACAAAGTAGGTATTGTAAGATAAAATAAAGTCAAAAGAACAATACAAGAAATACTGTGAGATATATCTTGTCATAATTTTGGTTTATTTTTATTTTATTTTGTTATCATTTTAACTTGTTTTTTTTGTTCGTCAAGTTGGCTTGTCAACGTTTTAACTAACTTTTAATTAAACTTGTCATAATTTTAGCTTGCATTAAATCATATTATTAATATTATTATTATATTATAAAAACATCAACTCAAATACTTTCATCATAAAAATGTTTAGATTATCGCTAAGCCCTTAACCAATGCTTTTTCTATAACGACAAATGATCTCTGGTTTAATAATATGAATAAATGGATAGACAGTTTTGCTTCAAAAGCAATTAAAAATAAGAACAAAGGAAATTTATATTTATTCCTTCATTAGAGTAGGTATTGTATATTGAGGTCAAAAGAACAATACGACAATTTCCCTGATGGTTTTGGATTTCGGTAATTAAATTCTTTGTAAAAAGAGTGAAAAAAAATCTTTTTAAATTAAATGTAGTAAATTTTAACGATATGAAAAGTTTTGAAACCATAACGTTTTTATTACGAATAAATTGAAAACCTGCCCAAAAACACGATATAAAAGAATATTTGCATAAAAAACTATTTTTACCGTTTTAAATATCTCGTTAAAAGCTTGCAGATACTTGAAAAGTACTTCACATTCCCACACATCGATTTAAAAAAAGCTTTTCCTCTAAACATAAAATAGACCAATTTTGCTGGATCATAAGGGGTCTGAATGAAAAAGCGGCCTTGGTTTATAATGACATGTCCTGTTTTCTCACTGTGAATAGACATGATCCCTTTTCTTTCTGCATATTTTCGTCCTTGAATTGTAAGATCATCCGCAGGACTAAAGTCCTGTTGAGTGACTTGCGGTCTCATTAACTGAGATGTTTTCGTACAAATGAACAAAACGATTTGGTCGCAAATAAATCGACTGGATTTTGCTTCTCTACGAATTATACATGTAATTTCATTAAAAATTCCTTATCATTATTAATTAAATTTTAAGCGGTTCTGTCCCAAGGGCAGTACAAATAGGTTCCCTAAAAGCTTTTAGCTATAACTACATTTGATAAACTTGACTGAAACCTTGTAAAAATACTTTTTTTAAAGTAACAATAAATGAAGGGTACAAGTGCAAAAAAGAGAAGTGAAGTTATTAACAAAAGTTTTTGCTATATACAAAAACCTGGATACCTATAGGCATACTTGTATATAAGTATATAAGTATACTTGTTTTAATGTTTTCATTAATCAACATGCATAACTAGTACAATTTTCACGTTATGAAAAATTAAAAAAAAAATGGACTCTAAACTACCCAACTCTGCACTTAACTAATTTTCATTCTAAAATGCACTTGTACCCTTTTGCTTCTTACCCCTTCAAATATTAATATAAATTTAAAATACAAGTAAATATTTGTAAATGCTTGTTATAGTTTTAAGTATACATAATATATTATATTTAAAACAAAATAGATGAACAAACCATAAAGACTAAACAAAAAAAAGTAAGTCTCTAACTCATGCCAAATAGCGTGCTGTCATCCCGCTGTCATTATGTTTTTTTGGCGTATTTAGTCTTCTTGGAACAAACTAATAATTTGGCATTTTTTTTAGGAAATTATTGTTGTTATTTTGGCAGAATCGATTAATAATTTAGATATACAATCGAAACGCGTATTTAGTTAAATATCTGATAAGATTAAACTTTGTGCTTGTATCATACCGATAAACATTTCAACTTACAAAGGAAATTACAAAAGTTAGTTTTTTTCATTTAGACTTTGACATATTTAATTCAGTGGGTAGTCAATGTAGTATATTTCTAAATAAGATATAATAATGTCTGTTATAAAGTTAGTTAAAAAGGTTTTGATATTCTCTAGATACATTTTACTAATAAAAAAGGGTTATCAGAACGAATAAATATTAAAAAAAATAAAGTGAAGCCCAACAATCTGACTTCGCTGTAGTGTTTTTTTATAAAAATTAATAGTTGTATTTGATTAGCTATAATTATAATTTATTTCTTCTACTCCCACCTTTAAAACGCCCATTATCGTACATGTCTCCATGACACTAACTGACCTTTTTAAATACACATTGAGAAGTTGTGGTTTTATTGCGCTTTAGTCACGGGCTGAAGTTAGCAACAGGTTTATAGTCACTGGCTAAAGTTAGTTTTAGGTTGATTGACAGTTGTCAAATGTCATACAATCGTTAAAATAATGTGCCTTTCTTGTAATACTAAATGTGAAAATTATTTTATTATCTCAATACAGTGCCCATAATAGTATATTATGTATGAAGTTTGATAAAAGCCATTTAGAAGAATTTAATTTAGGCACGAGCGAGCTTGCGAGCGAGTGCTTAAATTAATGAGTGTATAGAAAAGTTTATAAACGAGGTGCATATTATACTTTTTCTACGACAAATACTTGTTATTATCTTAAAATGATCTAAATCAAAAATTGGTATAGAGCGCCATCTATGAAACAATAGGGGAATCTGTGTGTCACCATCAAATGTCAAATTTTTATATTTTATAAACACATTATAAAGATTATAAATCGAAATGTATTTCTTAAAAATTGACAGTTTTTCACAGTGAAAGTAAAGAAAATGTTTTATGAGCACTTTACAGTGGAGTTTACTGCCGGCGAAATTAAAAGGTCAGTGCAATGTTCATATAAACTTTTTTAATATTGGCGTTGAGAAACTATTTAATAATTTTGTATTTTTGTATTGAGATAATAAAATAATTTTCACATTTAGTATTATTTTACAAGAAAGGTACCTTATTTTAACGATTGTATGACATTTGACAACTGTCAACTAACTTAAAACTAACTTCAACCCGTGACTAAAAACCTGTTGCTAACTTCAGCCCGTGACTAAAGCGCCATAAAGACACAACTTGTCAATGTGTATTTAAAAGGTCACTTAGTGTCATGGAAACATGTACGATAAAGGGCGTTTTAAAGGTGGGAGTAGAATATTTTCTTCTCTTTAACTGTGAAAAACTGCTTCTATATCGATTTTTAGTCTATTTTCAAGCGATAAATTTTGATTTACACAGAAAATTTTGTGATTTTAACGCCGTTAGATTCCCAAGTTAGAAATTCTAACAGGAACTCCAATAAATTCAACTATCACTTTTTTTACATATAGCATTTCCCGTGTAAGAATGTTTAATACTTTGTGACAATTTTTTGCAATTTTAGTAATATAAAAAATTAAAGTATCAAATATTTTCTGAACATAATCATATTTTGAAGTTATTTTAATATTTATAAGTATCAATAATTGTTAAGTTTAATTAAAATAATAACGGGCAAGGTTAATGGTAAAAATTATGTCAAAAATGTTTATTGGGATGGTTACTTTATTTTCATATAGATGTCGTTTATATGAATATTTAATTTAAATAATTTTTTAGGTAACATTCAGTATTTGTCGTCGAAAAAGTATAGTATGCAACCCGTTTATAAACTTTTCTTGGCACTCATTTAATTAAGCACTCGCTCGCAAGCTTGCTCGTAAATTTGTGACTAAAATGGCGTTTATCAAACTAAATACACAATATACTATTGTTTGACGTAAGTAAACTAATTGTATTAGTAGTAAAATCACAAGAGGTTAAGAAAAATTAAACATAATTCAATTGATTTTCTGAAACTTTTCGGCCAAAGGGCTCTCGTAGGGTATTCGTTGCATTATTTTTTGACGTAACAATGCCTTAACAATAAACATAAATGTCAAAAAATACTTTAAATTATTCTCCCGAAATTAATGTAAGTAAGTTATTTTCACTAAAATAATGATTTGATTGGCTATAAAGTACAGTCTACGTCCTACAAACATGACTGAAATTAAAATTTTGTATTGGTTTTTAGAAACGTCAAAAATAATAATACGAGTTATCAAAAATTAGTCGAATCTTTAAAGGTGTGATAAACCCTAAAGAAGCATCGTAATTATTTACGTAAAAATTGTAAACATTTCAATTTAGTAAAAATCATAAAACAAATAAGTAGTGTTCAATTCAAAATTCAAAAAGTATTATGTATTATTAAAAGAGTTGATTGAAAAAGTCTCCACTCAAAAGTAAAAGACTAAAAACGGGTGTTATTATGTATTATATATAATAATATTATTATGTTGCAATGAATTCGTAAATAGGTATATTTTATCAATTACTATTTTAAAATGCATTTGTCGGCGTTTTTTAGAGGACTAAAAATTTGATTTTAAGGTTATGTTTGTACAACTATTATTTTTTGTTAGATTTCTTAAAGATTCCTTAAATATAAATTATATTAGATAAAAATATCAGTATTTTATTCTGCAAAACATAAAAATGCAACGATTAAGTTCTTGAATTAAAAAAACATTAATTCACCATGATCACTAAAATAAAATACACACTAACGTAACTATATAAGCATATAAGCGTTGAGTTTCTTAATACATGATATAAGGAATAATAAATCAACCAAACTTTTGCA